AGTCAACACTAAAGAGTTGTATGCTCTCCACTGTACCTTTTCACAAAACCTCCGTATTAATCCCGTTACTTTAATGATGGCCCACATTCAAAACCTCGTTACAAGAGACGGAACTACGCCTTTTTGTATCGGAGGCATTGTCACCACAATCGCAGTTCACCTGAACTGGGGGGAAAGGATTCAACTCCTACCTCCTCTGCCAGCAGTTTATATGGATATTGATAACTATAGAGCTGGACGCCTGATCAAAGTACGAGAAGCTGGAGGGTACTATATAATGGTTAAGAATACAAAAGTTTGTAGCGTGATCATGCCGAATCACAATCATACTAATCTAGGTAATCCGGATAACTGGCTTTACCACCTGAACGCCCCAGAACCCGGAGAAAATGAGCAAGGAAATCAAGGTGAGGCCAACAACGCTGCCACTGACGAAATCGAAGAAGAATTAGAGCAGCAAGAGCCCTAACCACAACAAGCCAACAATCCTGCCACCATCGACGCAATCTATGCCGCAATAATGCAGCAAAACCAGATGTCCACTCAATGCCATCAGAGCCTCGAGACGCACCAAATCGAGATGATGACTCTCTTGCAACAAATGCAGAGAGACCAAAACGACTACACTCACATGCATGATCAAAGTATGCTGGAATTCACCACAGGAATGACAAAAGATATGCGAGCCTTAACACTTCGTGTTGACGACTTCTATAACATCATATCTCAGAGAGATGGAGGCGAATCTTCCAGACACGGTGGGCAAGCACGTCGAAAAGCGAGGACACATGGCCGATTCCGAAGACAAGAGGAGGAAGAATGATTATCCAGTTTCCATTTCCCCTTTCCATCTTCTGTCAATACATTGAGGACAATGTATGATTCAATTATGGGGGAGGAAGTATTTCCCTTTTCCTAGTAATTTTTATTTTTCTTTGTAATTTCCCTTCCGTTATCTTTAATTAAATAAATTTTTTTTATCAAGTTATCTATTACAGCAATTTGTGTTGTTCTTTTAGACTCCCCTTTCTTTTTGAGCCCTATAAAATTTTTTTTGACTCACTCGATAAGTACATAGACTGCAAGATCTTTAATTGTCAGGAATTGTGGCAAGATTAAGCGAAATTTCTACCGTCTAGACACTCTACAACCCCAGAGTATGATAGATCAGTTCATTTACCAAATATTCTTTCAACATTATTTTATTTCCCATTATTTCTATATTCCTTCCAGCATTATTTTCAATTGTACGGTTAAATCTATTCCCCGATCGAAGCAAAGCCTACAATTTGTGCAGGAGTGCTTCTATATTCAGAATTATTACCAGGTTTATGTTTACGAATTCTTATTGTTTTTAATCAATATAATTATGTTTATTTTCGTTTGTCTCTTAAATTATTCTGTGATTTGGTCTGATATTATGTTAGGCTAGAATTCCTATACCGGTATGTAAAGTCACTTAACCAAGGGAACGAGTAACTTAGTTGGGATTATTTTTACTACAAAACTATATTTTCTGGCCTAAGTTACTATTTTTAATCATTAAATTGTTTTGTTACGGAATTAAAAAATAGATAGAGGTTAGGGTCAACAAAGCGGAAGTTTGAGATCTTTTAACTGGACAGTAGTAATTAGGTATTGGCTTAAAATACAGCGGAAGCACTTTAAATTTAATTAAGATTTTATTTAGTTTTCAAAACGTGTTTTTAACTCCTACGGGGTGGCGGAAGCGTACGTTAGGACTTAACTGCATAGCCTAGATCAACAAAACGACAGTGTGAGACGAGGGTTTTTAAACTAAATAAGTTTTACTGAAATCCATTTTGAAAATATAAAGACACCCAAAAGGTCGCTAGTTCCCGAGGTTCAACTATTGCATACTGGTAATTACGCTCTTTGATTATTAAAAATCCAACTTAATTTAGTATTTAGTTTTCCTTACAACCCAATCAAATATTCATTAGCTTTAGATTTGCGAAGTAACAATATAAGACGGTAGATTGATTCATCAGTCTCTTTGGTTCGATATCTTTTAAAACTACACGATAAGACTGTGCACTAGCAGTCCGAATCATTGGATACATAAGTATAATCCCGATCAACTGTCCCAAACGAAAGAGGCACCTTCATGATTGTTTTGCAGGTGCACGTCCCTTCACAGTTCAAACAAACTAGGCAAAAACGAGTCCAAATGAAGGATCCTCATACTGCTTCCCAGCATAATCGAAGGAGGCCAGGAGAGTCCAATTGAAGGTTGCTCACGCCAGCTTCCAAGCCCAATTGAAAGAGGCCAAAGAAGGGGTGAATCGAAAGCACATATTTCCCCGTTGAATCGAAAGACTCATTTCCCCTTTTCTCTTTTGCATGCCTAAGCCCATTTGGCAGTATTTTCTTTTTGTTTTATTTCTTATATTTGTTTTTATTATTTTTTTCTGTTGTCTAATTAACCAAATATAAAAGAAAAAGCTCACTAAAAAATTAGGTTTAAATTTTCTTAATTAAATAATTAAGTTCTTTAGTTAATTAATTAATTGAAACTTTAACCTTTTTTCTTAATTAAAAATGAATTAGAATTTTTAGGACTAATTATTTCCTTTTCATAATAATAAAAAAAACTAAAAAGAAATTAGTTTATTTTTCTTAATTTAATTTTATTATATAGACTTTAGGATAATTGACTATTTTTCTTAAATAAAAAACAAAAAAAAAGATTTTTTTTCTTATTAGTTTTCTTAGATGAACTTTCGATCTTTCGCGCGTTATTTATTTTTCGCATTTTTACATTATTGTATCTGTTGACAGTATGTAATAGATTAAATTAGGATTTTTACCACTTTCCTTATTTTTTCTTCCTCCAATTTTTGTACATTGTAAACCCCATCCCTGAAGCCATGTAATAGCGTAGGGTTTTATCTTCGCACTTTACATTTCTTTATATATTAACTGCTAGTAACTAGGCGTGTATGAAAAGACTGAAATCAAATGTTAGCAAACTTAACAAAAAGACAAAAATAACTGAACATAACACACTTTCACATATACACCTCTAGGGTACCCCACTTTGGTTGCCTTCAGAAATAAAACAGTCATGAGGCAGGAACGCTTTAGCAGACACCCATATATCAAAAAGATCATAGTCCCTCGATGACCCTACAGTTGCTTTTTCGGTAAATGATCAGCGTCTCCACAAATTGCCTTCGTGACTGTAACGTCCCTTCGAATGTCCCTCATACATCCAACGAAAGGGCTACCTACTCATTGTAGCGGTAAAATCAATGAAGACGCCACCGAGTATTTATTTATCCCATATAAAAGGGAAAGGAAAATCATCGAAGAAAATCCTAAAGGGGAAAATCAAGGTCTTGCGACCGAGATATTGGGTAAGGGAGTCGATTACACAAAGGAAAGGTATTAGCACCCCACACGTCCATAGTACTCTAGGAGATCCACTCTCGTTATTCTAATCAAAGGTTGTGTTCAATCTAATGCTTAATATTTATAAACTAAGAGGGAATGCATGCAAAGAAAACACGGGGAAAAGAAGGAAATATTTATAAATTTTCGCTCGGCTGAGCCCCGTGACCAGATGCCTACGTATCCCTTTTAAGGAATTATAGCGCCGTAGTTTGGCTCATATATTTGTTTGTTTGTATGTTTTAAATGAACAATGTTGCATTTGATCATTCCACCGGTTCTCGACCTTTGGAGACTTACGACCTGTAGTGGAAAGGAACTAACAATGCTCTTAGAAGAGAAAAGCCGAATGGAAAAAATAAATGGATTGGTTGGTATTTTTTTACCATCAATTTTTTTTGTATGCTTAGCATTTTTTTATACATTTGCCAAGAAAAAGAAGTTTTAGTTTTAAATGCAATTATGCCAAAATGGGAAGAAAACATATAAATAAGATTAATCTATCTCTAACCTAATGTTATCATACAATGAGGGATCCTATCTAAGTTAGCATACCAAAGAAAGTCTAACAAACTATCCTATAGGGAACATAAAATGAGAGCGAAGTCGTGATCTCAATTTCTAAATTGAGTGACTCATCGATCAACAAGAAATAAGGGAAAGCGATAAAATCCTATAGGGAGCATGCACTGAGAGCGAAGTCGTGATCTTAATTTCTAAATTGAGTGACTCATCGATCAACAAGAAAGGAAACAAACACAAGCACAACACATATAATAAATAAAGTGCAGAATGCCTACTACAGGTCTTTAAACAGCGACTTCGAGCGCATGCTCTTTATTTCCTACTTCTCATGATATCTAGAATGTGATAAATGCGTAGAAAAATAAATTGGAAGCAGTATAATACCAAACAAACAATAAAGTCCGCAAAAAGAGAAATTAAAGCAAAGAAACCTGAAATACTTCGTGCAAGCTGACATCAATAAACAAACAGTCAGAGATCGAATGCTCAGAATAGGTGTCGAAGCTTCATCGATGTGAAAATAAATCACAATCAAAATCCAAACACATCTGCATATCAAATAATGAACTTGCATAAGACTAAACTCAACAAGCAAAGGTGATTCATAAGTTTCAAGTAATCAACGATTATGAATTAACTTCCTAAAAAAATCAAATGAGAAATCTAACAAATTTTTATTGGTTTTTTTTGTAATTTATTACCTAAAAATAATAAGAGGTATTCCTAAGATCTACATTCTTTATTATTTTTATTATATGTATTTTGCTACTACTTTTATTGTAAAAGGAATTTAAACTAAGACAAAATAAAATCTAGAAAATATAGGAAATCTAAATAGTCAAGGTGAGTGTTAAACTGGATTCTGGGTATAGTGCAGTAAGAATAGCACAGAGGCCCATCAGCAAGGGTCCAAAAGTTGTTTGTTTTTGTCCAAACATCTAGTTTACAACAAAAATAGTGGTATAAGGGCCTGAGTGAGGGTGGATGGTAGCAAAGCCCAAACGAGTTAACATAATCCAGGTTATTAAATAAAATTAGAATAAAGTGGAAAGAAACAATGAAACACTGCGTTTAGAGCATGTCTTAGGGTTCACAGTCTTGATCTATTCCCTTTATTCGTTGTTTCATCATCTTTAAAGTTTCAAACATCTCAGCCACTACGATGGTGGCGTCAGTGGTGGTTTGAGTCAGGGAATGGCTGTGAAACATGTCATCTAACTCGTAATCATGTCTTGACCTTATATCTTCCTCTTCATCTCGCTTGGAATCATTCTTGGAATTGCCTCTTCAATTTCAACCTCCGACAACCACTGTATTCAGTTGTCGTAACCTCTTTCAACGTCTCAGTCGCGATTTCAACCTCTCCATGCGTTTGACATCAACTTTGCAATCTTGGTCCTTCTCTCTCGACTCACATCAAGATGCAGAAAAATGGATAAACAATAAAGTTTGACATTGTTTACCTACCGGAAAGAACCCGATGCTCCTTCAAACACGTGAATAGAATTGAAACTCTCAGAGGTAGATTTCTTTTCTACTTCTTTGATTCACTTCATTTCTCTTAGAAAATGACAATCGCCTCTGTCACCGACAATCACACTCTTTAACATTTCTCCATCTCCGCTCATAATCTTTCGCACCTCTCCGATCCGAGTCTCACTTCCACCTCCGCTTATTTTATATCTTCCCCTTTGTTCGTGGTTTTCAAAAACGATTTCAAGGCTCTCGATTAACACCTTCAATCACAAAAAATAGAAACACAGAATCAAATGGATGAAACTTACCGACCGGAGAATTCCGGTGACTCTTCAACAACAGAGAAGATGTAGAGTCCAGAGGTAAGTTCTTCACTCTATTATTATTCTTCTATATGTCTTCGACTCCGTTTTTTAAGATCTCTATTATTGATCGTTGTGATACCTGAGATGTTGTTGTGTTGATGCAGAGTGAGAGAGCGACTGGAATATTGATGAAGCTGATCAAAGAATTGTTGGAGCAACGATGTACTTGATGAAGACTATAAATTAGTTGATGATGATAGGAGACAAATGTATGCTATTGAAGGTGATTGAAGGAGGGTGAAGGTTGAAGAATGGTTATGGATGAAGCAGAACAGTGAGAATAATGGTGGAGAGTGAAAGTTGATGAAGATAGAGAGAATGGAAGCTTTAAGATTATCGAGAATGGAAGGTTGAAGATAACCGAGATCCTCCAAAAGGTGAGTCTTCAATCTCTGTTATCTGTTGTGAATCCCCCCTCCAAAAAAAATTAATGCTCTCCCTCTATTTCTGTTATTAATTCTGTTATGGTTTGCTACCAATCTGTTAGCAATTATGTTACCAATCTGTTAGCCTTTAGAAATCTCTTAGCTTCTCCTCCCAATTCTGTTATTTTTGTTATCCATTAGTTAGATCACCGTTAGAAGGGTTAAAGAATTAATTATATGTTGATGAGTTAGACATTTTGTGTTGTAACAGTTTCTTACGAAACTCTATCACTCTGTTAATCTCTTTGATGCGCTAATTTTATGATTTATTATAGGTGGTTAGAAATAGTTAGATGGTTGGAAGTTAGTTATCCCTATTTAGAAAACAATTAGCATTGTTTATTGGTTAGTTAGAAGGCAGAAGTGAATTTGGTTAGAAAGTCTGCAAGTCTGTTGAAGCTGTTAGAACCTTCTGATATATTTTCCTGATATGCTAAGCTGTGAATTAAACTTGAATTTTATTCTATTTCTCGCTTCCTGATTTTTCTGAGTTTCAATCTCTTTTAGTAGTCATTTTTTTAACTACTGCACACCAAAAGATTGTTATGAAACTGACCCCATTTTGATTATGAACTAGTTTTCTTGTAGGGACAGACTCATGACGAAATCCTTTGTTCCTATATTTGATGCAGAGTCGGAGAGAAGAATGAATAAAAAGCTCCGTACACTTAATGTGATTGTGAAAAATGTAACAAAATGAAAGGGAAAAAACTATACAGAGGTTGGAGCTTTCCATAATCAAGTCTTATGCTAAATTGATTTTCATTTGAATTTGCCTTTGGACTGTTATTTCTTGAATTTTCTGAACTGATTCCATATTGATGCAGGAATGCATATATTCATTTTTGGTTTTGGGATATTGATGTGCATTGAATGAGAAGGGAATTCCATTGAAAGCAAATGAGTCTTCACAAAAGAGAAACCCTGCAAAACATAAATTTGTAGAGGAACAACAAGGCGTCTTCCGGGAGATACAACATTTGGATCTTCAGAGGATTTTAGTGGACCAGCATAGTGGATCAATAGCGATGGGGAATTTCAATCTTTAGAATGCCTCGTATTATCAGCGTGTTTCACGCCAACCTGCCAGGTTCGTGAAGTCACAGGAAATGTCACTTCTGCTCCAGGCTTTAGAGAGAGGCGAGATTTTAATGTTTCAGAAGAATATGAAATTACTGAATCTTGATTTTTCCCCTCATTCTGTTGTGATCTCTCCTTTTCATAATTTTTGGTGAAAATATGAAGAACAACACACAGCAATAACTAGTTTTGGAATCATTTCTGAAAGCTCTTCATTCAAATCAAAAACATGATCGCATCCAACTTGATCCTCCGAAAGAACAAGACTAGAAAGGGATTGGTCTATGACATCAGGTTTAGCTTAAAGAGAAAGCCACCTTTTTGAAGAAGCAGTAGCCCTTCTAATAGATGCAATATTCAGTATTTTCTAGTTCACTTCACATGAGTTTTTTCTCCCACATATCTCACTAGCTGCTCATCTGCACTTGAATCTGTTTTGAATGTGGTAAGTAGAGTTATTAGTTAACTGTTATGGCGTGAACCCAATTTGAGTTATGGTATGGCTTGGTTTTTGATTAATAGTTTGAAAGGCTTTATATATATGCATGTACTATATGGTGTGAAATGGAATATGAGGCCTTCAAGAAAAGAGTTAGTAGGTTTAAGTATGTGTTTGTGCTGAAATTAGCTTGAAAATGGTATGCAATACATGATAGTTTTATTTTTGCACTATTTTGTGGAGGTCTAATGTAGGTCTAGTGTAGCAGCAAATTAGGGGCACAATGGTAATGTACATGGTTTTCAACATGAAGGCTTTGCACATGGAGGCACTTTGTAGTTGACATGAAGTTCAAACTTGGAGTTTTGACATTATTTTCGCAAAGTAAAAGTATCATGGTTGGGATTCAGTAGGAATAGGTCTTAGGACAGCAATCTGACTTTGGTCAAACACCCCTTTTTTGTAATTCGTTCAATGTTGTAATGAATTCTTTTTCACTTGTAAGGAATCTTGAATTGGAAATGTGAAAGACAATGTTTTCCTTGTAATCTTTATCTTGTAACTTACTTATTATCAATGATAAAACTTTATATTCCACACATCCTCTTGTCCGAAAGGCATACCTCTTTCTTTCATTTCGAAATGGTATGTATGATGATGATTTGAGCTTTGAGTGGTGAATGATGTAGAATTTGGACACCTTGAATTTGTGATGATTTATACTTGTATGATCTTGAATAATGCTTTCAATGAATAATGAACATAGTTATGTATGCCTTTGTTACTTGGATCCCAAGAAATTCATATGGATATACCATTTCCAAATTTAGTCATAAGCCAAATCCCAAATTATGCTTTTGAATAAATTGATCTCTTGGAATCATTTGAATGAAACCTCATATCAATTCTCCATTGATAAAAACCAAGCCAAGTTGCCTTCTTGATGAACTTTTTCCCTTAATCACTAATCCCAATTAACTTGCATAACATGCAACAAGTAGTTAAGATAATGTCTTGAACACAATGAACCCTAATCACGTACCAAAAATGATAAGAACACCAGTTGAATCAACATGAAGAATGTAACAACCTTGGTCCACAGAGAAAAACCCTAATGCCAAAACTCTTTGATCCTGTAACCATGGGACCAATGCTATATGTGAGATGTACAGAGTATGATGAGGGATCTTAGGGGTAAAAATTGGGGTATAAGAGATGCCCTTATTTAAGTGTCTTCTATCCGGAGATACGAAGATTAAAATCTTCATTTCGACGCGATTGGAGATACTTAAATACAAAACAAGCCTTGTTTTTGGCCCTAAGATGCCATTTGATGCTTATGATTATGGATGTAACATATAAACTTCATGCAGATGGGAAAGACACACACTGGAGAAGAAAAAGTAAAATCAAAAAATTATTAAAAAGAATTCAACCAGGAAAATAAATCTCTGGAAAACAACACGACTCTGGGGATAGAAATTTGAATCTATTAGAGACAAATTGGCTCCGCTGGGGAAAAGAGGACTCGACTCTATTGAGTAAGATCCAGAGAGGAGACAACATAACATCAACTCAAAAACTAAGGGAAAAGTAATGGATGACAACAATTAACCGATAGTTATGAACTATCCACTCATAGAGGAGACATCAAAAAGTGAGTAACATCAACACAGGGGATCGACAACTGCTAACCTGAAGGGTACGAACAAAAACGGTAAGATAATACCAGCTCAGGGATGACAACAAACTTCAACATTGAGACTAGCAAATGAATGATTGGTATCAATACTTATGGCTGGTAACAACGGTTTGACGTTAGCACTTATGGCTGGAAACAACTCAACTCAATCAGAGGAAGGTCCAATGAGGAGAAAGAGATGAACCTTGAATAAGAATGACAACAAAGTACCAACTCAAAGATGAAGGTAGAAAAAAAACAAATAATTAATACTGATTTTTTTATTGAAGGTAAAGAAACAGAAGATACACCGATGTTTACTGAAGGTGGGTTACAAACTTTCCCTGGAGGTAGAGATACAAAATATGCACCGATTTTTAGTGAAGGTGAGCTACCGACTTTTACTGAAGTTAGAGAGAAAAGAATAACACCAACTTTTACTGAAGGTGAACCACCGAATTTTACTGAAGGTAGAGAGAAAAGAGAGTACACCAGCTTTTATTGAAGGTGAGGTCTCAAAGAATAATAACGAATTTCCTTAAATTCTGGCGTTCTACTTAGAACGAGTAAAAATACAAGCTATCTAAAATAAAGAGACTACCACTTGTAAAGATTTATCAACATACTTCTCTTGCGAAACTTCCTCAAAGAGATACCATTTGATGGAGAATCAGATAAACCTCCCCTCGATCCTGACTATAAGCCACGAGCTGGTCTTAGTTTCTTCTTTAACCAAGATGTTTCACCTGGAAAGGGTAAAAATACAAGCTATCTCAAATAAAGAGACTACCACTTGCAACGATTTCACAAAAAACTTTTGTTGGGAAACTTCTTCGAAGAGATACCATTTGATGGAGAATCAGATAAACCTCCCCTCGATCCTGACCATAAGTCACGAACTGGTCTCAGTTTCTTCTTTAACCAAGACGTTTCACCTGGAAAGGGTAAAAATACAAGCTATCTCAAATAAAGAGACTACCACTTGTAATGATTTCACAACAAACTTCTCTTGCGAAACTTCTTGGGAGAGATACAATTTGAAGGAGAATCAGATAAACCTCCCCTCGATCCAGACCATAAGTTACGAACTTGTCTCAGTTTCTTCTTTAGCCATATATTTCACCTGGAAAGGGTGACGATATTGCTGTAAGAATCTTTCAACGAACTGTCTTTATCATTGAAGTACAACCAAACTCAACAACGAACTATCTCCCATAATGACGAGACTACCATTCATCGAAATATATATCTCAACAACGAACTACCTCCCATAATGACGAGGCTACCATTCATTGGATTGAACAACATCTCAGCAACGAACTACCTTCCATAATGACAAGGTTACCATTCATTGAAAAGAAAAAGAAAAATCTTCATCAACAAACTATCTTCCATAATGACGAGATTACTATTCACTGGAAAAAAACATCTTCTCTGGCATTAACAGACTTATTGGGGAAGAACAAGTTGCTCAAATAAAGAGACCTGTCACTTGCTGTTTAAGAAGGAATTGTAATAAGACTGGCGGGAAATGAAGCTTGATTTCCTGGGGAAATACTAATACATTCCTGTTGAGGAGAAAAAAACTTTGCGTGCAAAATAAATGCACATTCTCAAATCAAGGCTCGAAGCCTGCAGAAGTCGGAATAATAATATTGTCGGGGACTGCAGATTCAAACCAGAAATAAACTGGACTTAAATAGTCAACCAAGACAGCTCCTAGTGAGAAATAAACTCAAAAGGGGATCACATTCCATCCAGAAAATGAGCCTGAAAGGAAGGCTAAAGAAAAATTCTCTCACGAGGGATAACTCGGTGGGGAAATTGAAAGGATATACACTTTCAATTGACAACTCTATTAGAGAGAAAGTAACATAACTTTGCAAAGAAGATAATATGCTGACAAAACACCAACAAATGAAAACGAGTAATGAATTTTAAATTCATCTATGCATGATGTGTATATGAATGTATGAATGTTATCATGTATATGCTAACAAAATAACCATAATGCACTGGGGAGAACCATATGAAGATAACTTGGGAGAAGACAACACTCAACCAAGTCACATCCAGGATGAAGGTTCCATAGGAAAATAAGCATCAACTGAGGAAACAAAGTCCTATTTCACGTCTTAACTTCACTAGGAAGAACATGGTTGGGAAACAATCAAAGAACCACCTGACTGGCAAAAAATAAAGTTGTGGAGATATAGTAAACTCCTCTAGGTTTCACCAGGGAACATTATACAAACTTCGACTATGGAAGAAAACACTTCGTCGTCTAGACTTCAACCGGAGATTCCAAAACTAACTTCACTAGGGAAGGTGAACACCATATTGTCGAGAATTCAACTGGGGATGTCAATACAGGCCTTACCGGGGAAGATTAATAACTACGTCATTGATACTTCAACTGGGGATTGTTATGATAACTTCATGGGGGGAAAAGAAACCGCACACATCTAAGAGAGCCCACATACAGTCTTCAATATCAAGCATAATAGTTGTGTAAACTTCTCTAGAGAGAAATCATGAAATTTCATAGGATAACAACTTTAGAGTGAAGCATCATCCTTGACTCATCTGGAGAATTAAGAAGTCAACATCAAAATAATAGGTCAGCTCATGGGGATTTTAAATCAAACTCAGTGGACAGCAAGAGTAAACCCA